AAAATGAATAATTGTACACTTCATCTCGATGGTTCATAGGTTTCATTATACCAAGCATAAGCAGCGTTTTGTCATGTGGCATCATTCGGTGACTGATTATATCACAGAAACATAGCACGGAAACTGCACCACCGCACATAAAGATAGCTCAGGAACCCCAGCGCCGCACAGAAAGGTAGCATAGAGACTGCAGCGCAGAACAGCACGGTAACTCAAAAACTCCAGCGCCGCACAGAAAGGTAGCTCAGTGACTGCAGCGCAGAACAGCACGGTAGCATAGAGACTGCAGCGCAGAACAGCACGGTAGCTTATGCAGCGCAGAACAGCACGGTAGCTTAGTGACTGCACCGCCTCACTGAAAGGTAGCTCAGTGACTGCAGCGCAGAACAGCACGGTAACTCAGTGACTGCACCGCGGAACAGGGGCCTAACACCAGCTCTTTCCCACCTAACCCTGCAGTTTTCTGGGCTGTGAAACCACAGTCGCCGACCACACGTCTTCACATTCCGAACGCATCCCCAGCGGGCGGCACGAAATGGTCCCGCGCGTGCTGCGTTTACGAACGCACTAACGGTGCACCTGGAAACGCACCGCCCGAAACCCATAAATATACCATGAGCTAGCGTGGCGACAATTATGGGTGAGCTCGGCTGGGATGCCTCGTTTGCGTAAATTCCGCGTGTTTTTGGTGGGCGGAAGGTAAGTTTGATGCATTGGTGAGGCAAGAAGCGCGGACTTTCAAGATCAGTGACCCAGGAAATTCCCATCGGGAGAAGCTGCTGTTGAGCTCCGGGTGGCTCATGCCATTCTCATCTACTGTTTGCTAAATTGCAAACATGCTCATCTAATGGGTCAATTTGGAGCCGCTGTTTGCTTCAACAGCCCGATGATTGTCTTTCCCTCTGCAGCAAACATCAGCAGTTTACTTCTCAGTGCATGTTTCCTGGCTATGACTATCAACAGCAGGCCGTGCACGGTGTATTATGGCGTCAAACTGCATCTAAGATCCATATCGCCCATATATAGAGACGGCTTCATCTCAATCGGCCCACCACCCACTGAGTCGACCTCCGGGGTCGAAAATCAATCAGCTGACTGTGCGCCGTCAGCTGACTACCGGGGTCAGGGGCCGTTCAGCGCCCCCACTTTGGGACTGGAACGCAGCGCGCGGCGACCGAAATAATACCCGACTCCGTGTCTGGCTAATCGTCATGTGGCCGTCATTTCGCGTCACTGGACGGGAGACGATTGGCGGTGCCGAGCGTGGAGTGCCGAGGGAAGGAGACGGAAGCGCCGGCGCCTGGCCGCGGCCCGCGGGGTTGCATTCAGCCCCGAAATCACCGTGAACAGATCCAGGAGGTGTGTGAAAATCGCCGTGGCAGGGAGGGGGAGGGTGAGAATTGACAGCTTAGAAGACAAATTTGGCCTCAACATGTTTATTCCTGGCAAAATAATTAGCAGGACGGATAAGAAAAATAGGGCCTAGTGCGACTAATAGTGACTCCAAGTAAGAGGCCCTAATAGTGACTCCAAGTAATTCTTAAATAATTAAAGACAATTTTTAAGAATTTCTAGCCTAATTTATTGTTGCTAAACATCAAAACATTCCAGACACCTAAATAAGAATAAAAGCTGTCCCAAAGCTCACGGGCCAGTGACCTCTCCGTGTCCGATCGCCCACAAGCTCAGGACAGAAGCTGTCTCGCATCCGTCGCCCGTATAATTCGCCGTCCACGTGTGACTTGCAGTCTCCTATATCTGAGCGGCGGGAGGCGGTGACCGCGGGGATTAGCTGAACTAAATGGCCGCGCCAGCTGACCATCCCGCCCGCATTGTGACGTCACTGGGGCAGAGTTCCGGTGATGGCGGCGATAGGAAATATAGTGTGGTAATAATCGGTGATAATGGTCAGTGATAATGGCTGTATCATGGCTCCATGGCAGGTCAGCGCTCTGGTGGGAGTGGCAAAGTTAGAGATACATAATACAGGGTGTCCGGAAAGTTCTGGCGCCTCTTTTGGACGTCGTCTAACGCGCGCTGTGATTATTGGACTTTCAACCAATCACCGCAGATATGACCCCTCGTTCACCGTTCAGCCAGGGGTCGCGTACATATGACCTTTAAACCGTTTTCAGTGCTAGGTATATGGGCGAAGATGCGCCTTGTCGCTGAGAGCCCGCGCGCGGGGGCCCGGTGCGGCTTGAACGAGGCGCGAGTTGCAACGCGATGCGGCGTTTCCCGGCGAACGGTTGAGCAGGCAAAGGTGCACTCCAGATCGGAAATGTCTTAGAAAATATTCTCACTCAGCTACAACCACGGTATGCCAAAGCTGCTGAGACTGAAGCAGCATTTCAGCGGCAATCGAAGAAAATCTTGGGTCTGATGGACACAAATGTCCCATCATCTTCGTCAAGGTCAAATAAATGACTGATAGGGTGGTCCACGAGGGGTTCCTGGACACGACAATCAAGGCGACTTGCCCTAAGGGTCATGTCGCACTTCAACAGCACGGAGCGCCCTCCAACAACGCCGCTGCCGTCCAAACCAAACTGACAGAGGAGCTCGGCGGACCAGATCACCGTGGTGAAATGAGATTAGGCCACCTTATTATCCCAGCCTTAACCCGCTCGACTAAGGCATGCTACGCGTTTTGCAGAATAAGCTCTAGGCCACCTCTCATCCCAGCCTGGAGTCCCTGAACACTCGCATCATGACAGCATGGGAGGACAGGAAATGTCCTGCACCGTCAAAACCCGCAGGCGTTTCCGCCCTTGCGTCGAGGCCGTCGTCGGCACAGACGGTGGTTACAATGAATGGGCACTTAGCAGAAGGATGTGGCTTGGTGTTCCTGGTCATTGTTTCGTTCTATTGTTGAGTATCTATGGACCAAAGGCATTTATCTTAACAATGTTGAAAAGCGCCAGGACTTTCCGGACACCCTGTATGGTGCTGGATCCTTGCAGAGGTGTGTGCCAATCGAAATATAAAGCGGCATTTAATGCCATAACAATAGAGCGGTGGCAGTACGCGCCCACGATATAATAAGTTACATCACTTGTAATTAAATGAGCTTGTGACACCTCGAGGATGGTATACCTAATCAAACCTGTGGACCATCGATATGAGGCATATGATTATTTATTTTACTGTCTTTTACTATGCTTAATTTTGGAGACAATGCACTGAATAAAGTCACAAATCACAATCACAATTCCAAGCCTTCCGGGTATGCGACACTGTGCGAGATTCAGCCTTTGCTATCATATTCACAAACAACTAGGTTTATAGTGCATCTACGGCACGGAGTTTGCCTTGACCTTCAGCGACCTTGCTTGAGCAGGACAGTGTACTACGTTTGCAACGCTTCCAATTATACAATCTCTAATGCGATCTGGACCTGTTTTTCTCGTCTCGAGTAACCTGTTAATGAGCAAATGACAAGATACTAATTAGCTAAAAATTGCAAAGATCTGCAGTTAACAGGATAGTCGGGTGTCATTTAATACGTAAGTATCTCCAAAGGACTTAAAAGGTTTCCGGTTCCAAAGAACCCAAAGGATAGTGCACGTCTGCGTTGGTTTCTGGCATGACTTTTGTGGTGTGTTTATTTTATTTATAAAGGACTAAAAGATAACATTTTAATTGCGCCTGCGTTGACCTTTGCACGCTAAAAACAAAATGCGTTTTAGTTTACAGTATGCATATGGAGCACGTATATACATTTTCAGAAGAGTGGGATCATTATTAATTATTCTGGGCAGCGTCCTCAAGATACCATGATTGACAATCTAAAGGGAAAGTTCTGAGCGGAAAGCTCGGCGGGAAGTTTAAGTCAATCTCGTAAGCTCGGTCTGTTGTCTGCCAAGATGCACTAAATGGACTTTTTCCATGTTGTGTTCCAAGGAAACAAGCAAACTCTAACTAAGGGATGTACGGTGCAACAACTTCTTAACCCTTTAGCCCTGTTTGCATAGCACTATAAAAGCAGTGAAGCTGCATAAATGCTCTTGGCGTATTCATCAATGCGGCACTTTTTCCGAAACATATGTGTGCATGTTTCCGACGTTTAAATCGCTGCTCGTCGGTGTACAGATGAACGAGCGATCAACGACACACAATGTTGGCCGTGGCGAAATTGTACGGGTGCCCCCGAATATTTAGCTACAGTCGATAAGAAAGCTTCTCAGCATTAGCATATTTCGTCGTCACAAACAAGGTTCAGTTTCACCGTTTTCCGTGTATAAGATGTGCCATAGTGAAATGACGACGCTTAATGCTTGACCAATCAAAGTATTTCGGAGCACGATACGTGTTTGACATTTTTTTTTGCAACGCTTTTACAGAAGAAAGTACTTATTGCTGAAACGGCAAGTTTAACATTTTGGAATCAAATTGAATATGACTTCAAAATATATTGAGTGTTTCTTATGTTGATTGTCGTACATACAGATACGAAATTACTTCCCCATCCTATCGGGTTCTATCATTCAATGGATAGTTGGTCAACGAATGGGATGAGCTTTGCCATAAACGGCAATTGGACGCAACGTTTGAAAAGTAATGCACCGATAATTGTTATGTGATGGAGATAATATATTTTATTATGTGCCATATGAAAAATATACCCTCTTAAAGTGATTGTTTTAGCTTTCGAAAGCGAGTTCCAAATTGTTCCCTATACCATATGAACCCATACTTTCATCGGGCCCGACAGCAGAAGGCCAAGGGCCGGGCGGGCTGGAGATTCCCATCCCTGCTTAAAAGCAACACGGCCAACTTAAATATTTCGAAGCGCTTTTCTTAATTGGGAAAATTAACCATATTGACGTTTACCATTATGACATGTACATAAAAGTAATTATTAAATAGCTAGGTAATCTCTGTGGTCACCAAGAAGCAGAAGTATGTCACTAAGGAAGCGCACTGGATCCCAGTCCATCGGAATCTCACCACCACCCAGTCCCAGTCGCAGCTCGCCGTATTCCGCCGCAGCTCCTCACCTGGTGTCGATAATGCCCGATCTCGTGTCACAGGAGCTCACCCGACCCGCGCGCGTCACTGCCAACCACCGACTGTGACCTGACCCGACCGGGACCTCTATATAAAACCAAACCGTCCCGCCGGCCACCGGCGCCCACTGCAGGCCTAGGCCGAAATTAGCAGTCGGACACAGGCCGAGTCGATGACCTGGCTCACTCACACCCTCCGTCGCTGTCGGCGGTGACGTCACACAGGCCGCGGGTGACGTCATATGGCGGTGACCAATGGGAGACTGGGAGGGCCGGAGGAGGCCGGTGGGCGAGTGGAGTGGGAGGGGCTGAGAGTGGGCCAGTGTCGGTCGCGACGACGGCGGCGGCGGCGGCAGCTCAGAGCGGGCCGGGATGTGGGTCTGGGTCAGTCCCGTCGCTCGATCCAGGATCTGTATGGAGCTCGGTAATGAAATCGCTTAGACTTGCGGTGCTATTGATGTGTAGCTGGAGAAGCTAGAATTGGAAGAGATCATTTCAAAGTTGAAGTCTGTATTTTCAGGAGCATTGCAACAGCTAGATGAGAAATATATCAACCATTTTCGACAACATTCGAACAGTACCTAATGATGACTGGGTTCAGTCAGTTGATAATCTTTGTCCACAGCATTCATTTGGATTAAATTGTGCGTGAGTAAGTGACGGTTATTCCACACGCAGTCGACGAAACCATGTGGAGTTTTACGCGCCAAGTGATGCGTGGGCCACACGCACGACAAGAAGCCAGCCGTTTGGACCTTTTTGTGGTCCAGAAAACACGAGGAATGACTCATGGATAATTGTTTAGCTCGCGTAAATGTTTTAGAGCCAGGTGCTTCAAAACAGTCGTTACTTTTTGTAGAAATTCCAACTTCCCTCTTTATTTACAGGCCGGTTGGCTTCAGAACCAAATGCGTTCTTCCCAGCACTAAAAATTTAGTTATTCAGTTGTGCTACCTTAACTTATTCGTCACTTTTCTGAAAGGTTAGTGTCCACCGAAATAATAACCTGCTCTATCGGATGACCGCGGGTTCGGATGAATCATCTCGATAAACAGCAGCTCCCTGTCCACCTAGCGTCACGGGCAGTGCGCCGGAAACTAGCACGGCCCGCGGGCTCCCCAGGGAATGCCTCTTCGGCCGCGCCCAGTGGGTAGGGCGATGAGCTGGCCTGCTGCCCGGGGCAGTCGGGAGGCTACAGTGACCCGTACGACACTAACACAGGATGGGGGAGGCAGGAGACCGCAGTGTAGCATACGACAATAACACTAGAATCGGGAGACTGCAGCATGACATGAGACAGTAACACTAGATCGGGGAGACTGCGGTACTGCATAGGACCATAACACCAGATCGGGGAGACTGCAGTATGACATACGACACTAGCGCTAGATCAGGGAGACTGCAGTGTGGCATACGACAATAACACCATGTCAGGGAGACTGCTGTGTGGCATACGACACTAACACGATATCGGGGAGACTGCGGCATTGCATAGGACAGTAACACTATATCGGGGAGACTGCGGTATTGCATAGGACAATAACACATCGATGAGACTGCAGTATGACATACGACACTAGCAGCGCGGATCGGGAAGACTTCGATTACTTAGCCGGCAGAAGTGCAATAGTTCGCCCCACCGCGATTCGCGCCTACACCCGAAAACATTTTTGTTGCTGAACTAACTATAAGCGAGCATATGCACCTCATGCCTTTCATTGAGCTGTCAAAAGATGACAATATGACTGCATAAGACAGATGTAATCATTAGCTCAAACATGTGAGACACCTGTTTTCGGGATTAGCTGTGTTTTCAGGCTATTCTGAGGCGTGTTTGTAATGCAGCGCGAGTAATCCGGGTGTCTGTTGCGGTTGCGGGATTAACCCTATCCGGCTAAGAAGTCATAACTGTCAGTCTCAGCGGTCATAACCACAGCCAGAAACACGCACGAGCAGCGCAGCAGGGTTGCAGCTGGTTGAAGAGATTATCATGTTAATATTCCGCACACGGGCTGTCATCCATGATAGAAACTGCATCGCAGGCTCGTTTCAAGATTTTACCGTTATGATCGAAAGGACCCCCGGGCACTATAAACTGCTGCTCTGAAACAAAACACTAATCAAATGCTTATAATCCTATGTTTTCATACAATGTCTGGTTCTCATATGTATGCAATGTATGTATGTTAGCATTTGACATGCATTCTTTGCATACAGCAAACATGTATTGCTCACCGAGCATAAGGCACGATCTTGTTCAGCTGGTGAATCGCCTGTAGAAGTGGTCCGCAGTCCATCGAGGCAGCCTTGGGAGGTCGCTGCTCGAGGACCATATTGAATCACATTTCCACGCTCGGGTGGTGTGATAGGCTTCTATCGTTTACCGCAGGTGAGCATTCATAAATAACCGACCGCTAGCGCCGATAAACAGCTGTTAGTTCCGTCACTCAGGGATGCTCCAAGGTCCAAACGACCATAGAGTTTCGGTTCAGTAGAGCGTCATCAGGAGCGCTGCGTTAGTTAGGTAATGTTCAGGGGGTGCATCAACCGCGTGGTGATGGGTGAGTGGTGACCACTGTGCTGCAAAGTAAGACATGCGAGAGTGCATCGAAATAAATTAGGAGCGAGACGAAACGCACGGCGTTTATTGTACTGCAGGGGCGGAAATTGATGTTCGACCGGTTAATGTGTAAGGGTGTCAGTGATTATTTCTGGGACTTATGATTTATTTTCTCTGTATTTTTAGCACAGCTTTAAAAATAATAGCTTCGGGTAGAAAATAAACACATTATTTAATGAAGCCTATATTTCAGAACGTTCTTAACTTGTTTTAAGCCCGACAGTATGATTTCTGCGTTTTTCGCGCAATATCTAACGTCAAGTCTGAGCTGAGTGGGCTGATGCCCAGCAGCTATAAGTCAACTAACGGGAAATCCTTCCCTCATAAAGAAACTCATGACGTTGTTAGCACAACATTCGCCTCACTGTGGACGACAGACCGGGAGCTGAGGTGGCATCCATCATAGCTATTGTTCTCTAAAAAGGCGTCGTTATCCACTTATGGCTCCCTATTCATAACAGGGGCGGGGTGTTCCGGGCTGATTTGATTAAAATGTCGTCCTAGCGGCGGGGTAAAGAGTGCGTCTCAACCGGACGTTTGACCTTCAGGTGACACGTCTGATGAACTAGATTCTAAAAGTAAAGGGTGCAGAAACTGACATAAGTTTGCTTGCTGGGGTAGTTTATACAGGGATGCGTGGTCAAAAGCTGTTCATTTAACCCAGTTTTTGCTTACCTGATTTTATTATATGAAACCATGAAAATAATTGCTGCTCTAAATCCTGTTTTTATTCACTTATCGCAATTATAAATTTCCACACATTACAACAAGCCATATACCATCCTAGGACATAGCTCCCTGACCCATAATCGTTTTTGGTTCACTTTACCCCACGCGGTGCTGCGCTGTCCCCACCCCTGCCGAATGAGACAGGTCTATTAGCGGGCCGGTTGGCAGCTTTTTTTCTCCGTCCACACATGGTAATTCTCTGCATGTGATTACCCGTGAGCCGGGCGCCGGAGGTGAACAGCCTCAGTGGAAGCCGAGGAGGGGATGGGGTGCTTCTCTCTGTCCGAACGACGCCTCGAAGGGCGGCGGGCACGGGTTCCCGAGTGCCATTGACATCCAACGTCGATTGACGTGACGATTGCATGCGTCATTTGTGGTGGATGGGTCCTGTGGATGGACGGCGAGCTTCTTATCCAGTGACGAATCTTGCAGGCGGAACAAGACGCCAACCATTGAATGCTTGCTAATGATCATCGGGCCGAGAGCAAATGACATCGGAATTGAGCCCAGACGCGTAACCATTATCAAAAGGCAGTGTACATCGGATGCCTCATTTTGACACCGGAAGTGACCCCCGGAAGCGGTCGTTTCCACCCCCGGAGGTCGGAGGGTCAGAGCGTTGCCCCGCGGTTCTCCGATCTTACGATAGCATTAATCAAACGGTGCCATGGGCGCGCCTGCTGCGGGGCTATCCGGGGAGGGCGGGGCGCCGGCCATGGTGCGGCTTACCTGAGTGGCCATTACAGGAGTGACGCCCCCTGCATGATAAATGAGAACGGAAAACATGACCCATGGGAACAGCGCTCCACCAAAGGGCGCCCGAGAAAACTTTTACAGGCAAAGAAAATGACATGTTAAGTGTTGTAATTTAATCATTACAATCACCTTCATGGAATACATTTACCGATGTTTTTCTCCAAGGTGACCTTGATTAATGTAAACATAGCAATAATTTTTCATTTACATACAATGCTAACATGCATTATGAATTCAGCAACACCCACTGAAAGCCCTGCTAGCAATTAATGCTGAACCATAAAGCACAGTTCAGTGCAATTAATTCAGCCTTTCAGCGCAGACTATCTGGTGCCTCACCTGATCCATGCCAACATTGTTTTGCAGCATTCAGATGCGATCCTCAATGACCCTGTCTTCACGAAACATAATGACTCTTCAGCGAATAGCGTAGCATAATGCACTGGCTACTGAGTGACAATGCTAGCTGCTGCTAAAATTAACTGCCAATGAAAATCGAATCAATGCAGTTTCGGAAAATACAATAAAAAACGAGCTACGATTCAACGATAGATTCAGGAAGCACCATGTCCATCACCTGATCACTTATCATTTTCTTGAAGTGACTCAGTTTTTAATTGAAAATTATGTTCTCGCCCACGTATGGTCGAAGGATGGCCCCCAATTATATCTGTTTGACCCACTGACTGACCACGCTACCTAGTTCATCTACCCACCCCAGAAGTCCTGACTACCAGTCGTGTGTGTTTTTATCGGCATTGTTTGACCCACGGCGCCGCCCGCTGCCCCGGCGACTACATACACCAGTTTTTGTCCGGGGCAGGTCCGATATACACTTGTGGTGCTCAGTCGGGCGTGTTTTAACCAACATCTTCATTTCTAACATGGGAATCTGCTAACAGCGAGCGCATGGTGATTTAACTATGAACTTACGATCAAATTCGACTGAGGGTCTCCGCTAACACTCGAGATAGGA